TAATGTAGAGAACTACCCATATACTGATCGTCCGCCACTCGCTGCAGACGTTGGAATGGTCGTTCTTCGGATTCGTGTCGGGAGCCCGGCTTCTGTCAAGACATTCATCAGTTCTTGAAAAAGGCGGGGGGGGGGGGGGGGGCGGCGGTTCGAAGTCGCCGAACTTTGGGACGACCAATGAGACCGGCTGTATTCTCTTTACAGCCTCTACTATACGCTTAATTGGGATCGTGGCTGTTCTTGCTATACATTCCTGTGATTCTTGAATCAATGCTTGAACATGCGATTACGATAGTGGCGGTCACGGTTGACAAGAGCACCGTTGTTGCCCCTCGAAGCGTCAACACCTCTCGAGCCCGAATCCCATCAAAACTCCATATCCTACGTCTTGATTTGAACGGTTTTGACACGGCTTCTTCCGACGATTGTGTTTCTTTGTGCTTGCGATTCTGCGGGCCCGGATAGCTTGCTCATCTGGACGCATGCAATGGGGGTTATGAGGGTGTTGGGGTACGGAAGCTCTGCATGCCAAGTTCATCCTCTTCCTGATCCTCATCGTGCCAGTCTTGCAGCCTGACTGAAGGAGTTGGAGGTTTTGGAATTAGCCTTTGTGGGCGTAACACTGCGGACAAGATAAAGCACACCAGGCTGGGAAAGCTCTTCCTTCACAGTCCATATAGCTTTGGATTTTGGATTGCCGGTCTTGGGGTCTGCACTTTTGCGCAGGGCACTTTTTTGAAGACTGAACTCCAATCCCCAAATTCTCTGTGTGTGTGTGTGTTTCAGAGGTTGAAAACTTGCAAAGCGCAGACACAAGCCATGAATCCTTCGGTAAATGTAGGGGCTTGAATCGTCACCAATGCGCTGTTTCCTAAGGTCTCTTAGTATAGCCATACTATACCCTCCCCCCCCCTTTTTGTGTCAGGCTCAATGTGGTGCTCTTCTTTGCTGGGCGCTTCTTGTCGGGACAAGGCCTTGCGGTGGTGCCCTTCTGCTTTGGGTTCAGGGTTTAGGGGTTNNGTTTTGGGTTTTGGGTTTAAGGGGTTTTGGGTTTGGGGTTATCTCTGTGCTGACGGTGAAAGGTGATATTTGAGGCTTTGTAAAGGCCTCGAGTAAGAACAAGACGTACAGGACATGTGCTTTAAGTAGTTGGGTACGGTCAACCACGCGATCAGAAGAATAAGGCCGTATTGCGAATCCTAACAGCCGGAGCACCCTTCTTTGCACATGGTTGTACCAGCGGGACCTGCGGGACGTACCTTTAAGTAGAAGTAGTCTGCTGCTGTTGTTGTAACATTGGCAGTAATCCTGTTGTAAGCATCTCCCCCACTCCAGCGAATACAAAAGCACGACCTACCAGGACACTGTCAGGGCCTCCTCCAAGAATTACGCGATGTGTCCTTGGTTAACGATTCAAAGTTTTGAACCGGTCTGGGGCTGCAGCAGTATCGAAGCATACGTATGCACCTTCGGATAAGTGCTGCATTACACGTGATGTGGTTGTCCAGGTGTTTTAAGTATTGGATTTGCAAATGTCACCTGGTGTTGGTGTTTCTGTTGTATACCTTCTTTGTGCAACAGTGGCATGCCAGTTTGATTCGCATTCCATGTCCAGGCGTGGTAATGAGTACGAACGCTCCTGTGTCCAGCTGCAGCATTGACCTTCAACGGCTCTTTCTTAATGATCCATTCGAGCGATGCGTTCTGCAGCCATGGGCAGCATGGACGACCGAGCCAGATTAGCTGCCATCGCTTGGAAAACATGCTCGCTGAAGAAGTTCGAATCCCCAATTGGCAGCCACTCCATTACCTTGAAGGTGCTTCTGATTCTGTCGTTGCCGAGTTCAGTCCTGGCAGAGCAACCCTCCCCAGCATGAGTGTCTTTCGGGATGAGCTGCACGAGCAAGATCTTACGGGAAATGGCATGGGCTGTTCTTCGCAGATATTTTGCGATTCGTGCAGGCCTCTGGGCATTATGCCAGGATACGATACACGAAACTTCAACTGCCCCTAAACCCTAAACCCTAAACCCTAAGGAACTTTTGTGTAGCTATTAAGCTGGCACTGGAAGCCTAGAGCCCCATACCTGGGCAGGGTTCTGGGGTTCCGGGTTTAGGGTTTAGGGGCTCAGGGTTTTGGGTTGAGTTAGGGGTTTAGGGGTTAGGGTTAAGGGTTTAGGGGTTTAGGGTTAAGGGTTTAGGGGTTTAGGGGTTAGGGTAGGGGTTAGGGTAGGGGTTAGGGTAGGGGTTAGGGTTAAGGGTTTAGGGTAGTCCGGGCTTCCAAACCCTGCGGATAATGCCATAGGCCCCGCAAGCCCAGAACACCAACTTTCTCCAGAAGCCCCCGGGCTTAGGCGCTTTTGAAGTTGTCATATAATTACCCTTACTCTCAAAAGACTCATGTTTTGAGGCTTTTGGGCCCAAAGACCCTATTACATAAGGCTTTTGGGCTGTTTTTGATGTTAAGGGTTAGGGTTTACAATTGAGAAGGGTTAAATGCACACGTAAATCACGGAACAGGTCTCCAGATCACACTCTTGAATACGGCCAATGCAGTGGCGATCTCAGTCGGACCCTTTCGAGGAATGAAGGCTTGGATTGACGGCCGCTCACAACGCGAGGGTCTAGCAGTTGTCTAGCGGTGTGTGATAGAGTGATGGTCGTCTACGCCCAGGGACGTATATGGTGATAAGGTCCGCAACCTATCCTTGACTCTTAAACTTATCGAAGTGACTGGGTTAAAGCCCGCAGCTGGATCAGGGGCAGTCCACTTCAGACTGATTCCACAGAGTCTGCGGCGCTCTAAGTTAGAGCATCCCTTCACCCGCAACTAGCTTTGTGACAGCAGCCTTGCTTCTTCCCGTAGTGTACTACAACTGCTGATTTCGCTACTTGGCTCTTTAGCTCTCTGTTGCCTACATTACATTCATATTTTGAATGGCCGGCTCAAGCAGAAAGTAATCTTAACATCAACCGATCAATATTTACTTTGGGTGGAGCTACCAAACTTGGAAGTCATTGCATGTATCAATAGCGCGGTTAAGAAGAATCTGCTAGAAAGCATTGCCTGACTTGATTGATTGCCCCAGCCAACCACATGAAGACCCGCTTAAGGTCAAAACCCTGGTGTCACTGTTATAGTTATCTAAGTTATCTACCTAACCCTACACCCTAAACCCCAAAACCTGAAACCCTAAATCCCTAAACCCCTACGTCCTAAACCCTACACCCCTAAACCCCTACACCTATAAACTGTACACCCCTAACTAAACCCTAAACCCCCCAAACTCTAGACCCCTAATATGTTCATAAACCCCTAAACCCTTCACCCTAAAACCCTTAAGCCCCTAAAACCCTAAACCTCTAAACCCTAAACCCTAAAACCTAAAACCCTAACCCCTAAACCTCCAAGCCCTAAACGCTTCAGCCGTAGAGGAACTCTAACCCCTAATATCTAAAACCCCTAGAAACCCTCGACCTTAACCCTGAAAAGCCTGCAGCCCAAGAGCCCGACTGTTGATGATATAAATCCTGAATTACCTATTACGGACCCTAAACTACCCAGAGACTCCAATAGCCCTTAATTAAGGAATATGGCTTAAATCATATTAGGGATCCGACTATAATTTAAGGTCAGGACCCTCCAAGTACCCTCAAAAGGGTCCCAAATTAAGGGTATTTAGGGTCTCATGGAGGGTAGATGAAGGGTCTAGGTAAGGACGCTAAACTATGGGAATTTGTACTGCAGGATTTATATCATCAGCCCTAGAAAAAGCGCATAGTTTCACTCCAAGGCCGACGAAGGGCTGGGAGTGGGTGTCCCGGTGTGCTCGGTTCTGGTGCAGGCCGCGCCGGTGGTTGGCTTTTTGGGGTTTCGGGATTAGGGGTCAGGGTTTAGGGCGCCGAGGTTTTGGATTTTAGCTAAACCCTAAGTCATAGGTGTCGATATGCATGCTGCTTCGATTTCCCTGCTGCTTCAACTTTGCCTGCTGCTTCGACTCTCTTAGTTTTGCGAGATAAGAGCAGGATTAGAAGGTAAGTTGCAGGTGGTGTCTTCTGATTGTCTTGTTTTCCTCCGAGGCTTTTTCGGCTTCATTGAGGTTTTTCTGTAGGAGCCATGGAGTCTTCACCTGTGTGTCTTGGGCTTCCGCTTTGGCTGCAGTTCCTTATCAGGGAGGAGCATCCGTGGTGTTTGGAGGATGACATTATGGTGCCAGAGCATCCTCGGCGGAACTTGGACTTTGTCTTGATGTATGAGGGTGAAGGGAAGGATAGGTTGGTGGATGAAATGCATCCGGCTTCTCGTCTTCAGATAGCCGTGGTTTCTTCTCCGTGTCTTACAGTCTCGCTTTCTTCATCTTTGTGGGCAAACAAGCAGCTTTGCTATCCGAGGTTCCCATGCGCACGATGGCCTTGTGCAGCAATTTCGCGACATATGCGGATAAGGTCTTGTGCATCTTGTCTTCATCAGTCTAGGCTCTTTGTTCCACAGGTTATAAGACAGTTTTTCGACCGAACATAGTCTGATTTTGCATATCCGAGGTGTGGGCTACGTGCTGCGACTTAAAATGGGAGGTCTTCGTTGGGGCTCGCCAAGGAGGGTGGCTTGTGCATCGGGGAGTCTTGGCTTTATAAATCGCACGGCACAGGGGATCATACACCTCCAAAGTCTTGTTGCTTGGACGCAGAAGCCTGTCTTGTCTCCGAGGCGAAGATATCTGGAACCTGCTGCCAATGACTTCGTCTGCGAAGCTTCACTGAAGTTTGACATTTGCATGTGTTTTTCCAGATAGCAGAGACGACTTGAGGAATGGGAGGCGAATATGATGCAGCTGTGCCACAACATCGGAGTCTACACTGTGACAGAACAGCCTCGCTCGAGTGTCATGTTCAACGCGGCCCCGTTGCTTGTCCCTTGGCTGCAAACAGAACACTCTCTTCTTCTCCTGCAACAAGAAGCCTGAAACTGTTCAACTTGGACAATCCAGTGTTGCTTGTGAGGCTACGGTGGACAGCCTCCTTGCCGAGAAGGAGCACATCGTCATGGGCTCCTTTGGCCAGCACGTGGTGCTGCCCGGTTGCAAATTTGCTGCTTCAGGTATCGTTGCAGACATGGTTTCTTGTTTTGTGTGTGTGTGCATGTGGAGAGACATCTTAGACAGCCGACGACCCTCGTCGGGACGCACTTCTTCCTCATGAGATGTTTGAGTGCCGTGAGCAAGCACCCGGACATGAGGAGTGTGCCCCGTGTCTGATGCTGTATGGAATGTCTTGTCTGCCTGCATATTCCTTCCTGAGAACCTGGAATCCAGTAATCTATGGACCAAGGTACTTGAATCGTGCATCGACGGTTCGTGCTTCGCAAGTCCGTGGCGACTTGGACGAGGAGCTCCCGATGTATACACATACGTTTGCATTCGCCGTCTCTTGCCTTGCAAAAAACTGTCTCAACTCCTTGGTTGTTGTTACTTATTAATGCGAGAGGATTCGTGATGCTGGGGTCTGTAGCCTGAGAGGTTGCAAAGCTTGTGGAGATGGAGCAGAAGAACGAGCCCTGGCGACTGCTGGAGTCCATGGACCACATGCTTCGATCTTTGGCATCCCTCCTGGTGGCCTTGGTCTCCCGACTAGACAAGTAGCACTTGGCTCCTACTCCTCTCATAGTAGATTTGCCGTGCTGATTCACGCGGTGTCTATCCTCTTGCTGAGGACAGAGATCAACGTCACATGTTGGACGTGAGGGCGGACAGGGTCGCTGATGTTCGTGCCTGGCGGCTTGCCACGCTGCACTGCCAAGCCTTGCAGGTAGGGCCTCAAACGATTTGGGTGTGTTGTCAGCAAGAGGGTCCTGAAATAGAGCATCGTGCTAAGCACTACTGCATTCGACGGTCATGTACCTCCTCCCTGAGGTGGATCAGTTTCTTCGGCCAAGGGCTCCGGGCGGCCAAGACAATGCCGAGGCAGGACCCTAGAGCTCAGCTTGCAATTCGCCAGCTCGCTGGGCATCCTCGGCCCTTTGCACGTGGCCCTTGCTTATAAAGCGAGGCTCAGACTTGACTCTGACGAGCTGGCTGTCTTCTCTTTGTCTCAGAAAATACAAAGTCTCCATGGCTTTTCTCCGCGGAATGGCCGCGAACTGTCTCTGGCTCCAGTCTTCACAAAGCGGCCCATTCGCAGCATCTCCTCGAATAGAATAAGTTGAAAAAGTCTTCCAGGATCTTCGTCTTGTCTCCGCGGACTAGCCGCGAGATTTCTCTGGCTTCTGTCTTCTCAGCATCAGCAGAGTCTCCTTCAGTCTGAGAAGAATCAGAGCCTCGCAAGACTGCCCCGATGACACTTGGCATGTTCAGTCTTATCCCGTATCCCCAGCGACCGTTGACTGAGCAGGCCCCCGCTCCGCAAGCTGCCGTCCCGGGTGCTGCTGCAGACGACGATTGGGCGATCCTCGTGCCTTGTTCGCAAATCACAAAAGTTCGTAATGTCGAGGTAAGGCCCGAGGTCTTTGTGGAACCGTGATCACGGTGGGTGGGGGTTGCTCGAGGATTATGACGATTCGGATCTGGAGCTTGACAGGCCCTGAACCTTTGCCGAAGGACCATCCTCGTTTGTCGTGAGTTTGTGTGGAAGAGCCAGAGACAGGATGCCGACATTCATGGTTACATACGGCAGGATGCAGGTGAGCATTGCCAGTGTTCCGAAGAGCACGGGTGACAAGTCGAGCCTTGGCTGCTTGCAG